TCATGAGAAAACTAAGTGCATTCGTTATATGGGAGTAAACTCAGCACAATTTTGTGGGGGGACTAAGAAGTTAAAGATGATACTCAGGTTAACTCTGGAGCCACTGGAGGGATGGTGTCCTCACCTCCTGTAAGGTGGTGGGAGGAGGAGGACCTAGAGCAGGGTGTGATAGTAGGAGGGCAGATGAGCAGTCAGTCTGGGCAATGCAGAACTGAAGATGCCCTCCGGTCACGCGGTGGACAGCTCCACGCGGAAGCTGACTCTGTGGGCCTGGAGCTCCAGAGAGCTGCCTGCCCTAGAGCTATGGGTCTGCATCCATCAGCACAGAGACAGCAAGGAAAGCCAAGGGAAGAGTGGTGAATGGGGGAGTGAGTTTGCCCAGGGACAGAGTGTGAGGTGAGATGGAGTCCGGGGCAGAGTCTGAAAAATTCCAATAGCTAAGAGGCGGGAACCAAGAGGTGGCAACTGCCAAAGAAAAGGAACACGGCAAAGAAACAGGAAGAGAAACCGGATGGTGTCCCAACAGAAAAGCCAGCAGAAGCAAATGCTTCTAAAAGGAGGGAGGGGTCAAGAGCACTAAACAGGTTGAAGATGTTAACAGAAGACTAACGTGTCTGCTGGAGTTAGTGACAGGCCCTGTCTTTGGTGAGGGGCAGGGTATGAAGCATACCTGGGAGCAGTTCAGGGATAAAATTGGGAAGAGAAACTGAAGCAGTGGGTGAGGACAACCAGTTCACGATGTCTGGGTATGAAGGAGGAGAGATATGGGCCCGTAGTTAGATGGTGGAGGAAACCCAGTCATGTTCAAATGCTGTTTGGGAGAAAAGCCGGTAGTAGGAGATACTCAAGTCACAGAAGAGTGAAGAAGGCCCAGGTGGAGAAAGGAGAAAGGTTTAGATGATGCTGTAAGCCCATGCATTTCTGCCTTATAGTTCCTTTATAAAGTAAGAATATTTACTATTTACTAAATCGCTACCATCTATTAATTCCTTACCACGAACACTTAATCCGTTTATAATTCTACACTGGATTAATGCGTGAATCCCCAGTGCCTAGCAGTGCTAGGTGCACATACCACGTATGTCTGAGTATGAGGAAATCCTCCTCCTCCAATAGGAAATTTAAGAAAAATTTTTTTGGCCAAATTGAACATGAGAGCTTTCACCACTGCAAATGAAACACTCAAATGCCTGATTCTTCCTTACTTATCTAGACCACATGTAGAGACAGTTTGTCTAGTCATACATTTTAAGGACTCCGCTGATCCACACCCATCTCGGCACCGAAAGAGGGAATGTCCTCAGACTAATATTTTATTCAACGACACGCTGGGCACATCCTGGCATTGCTTGACAGCTGGCACGTTCTTGGTGTGCAACGAGAGAACCTGGAAGTCTTAGCCCCAGGCCAAAGCACCCACATATCCCTGATTCCCCCACAACTGCCACTGGGGGAGTTTTCCCTCCAATTCATAAAGATACCTCTGCCCACCAAATCATCTAGGCCCCAAACCATGGTGTTGTTCTTGACCCCTCACTTGCTTTCACACCTCCCTTCTACAAACACCTTCAGACAACCTCACCGCTGATTTCTCAGCCACCTTCCTCATCTCCCTGTACTCCTGTGGCCACCGCCTCCCCAGTCTCTGCTTCTGCATTCCCTGCTATGGTCTCTTCTCCATATGCAGCCAGAAGATTCCTCTTTAAACCCAGGCTGGGTCTTGTCACTCATTACCTCCAATGCTCCCATCTCAGCTACAGAAAAGCCCCAGATCTGCCCTCCACCTCACAACGGCCCCCTTGCTGCAGTGGCCCAGTGTCACACACCGACCAGCTCCCACCTTAGAGCCTCTGAACTGACTCCCTCCAGGAACGCTCCTCCCCGACCTGGTCAACAGGCTTGTCCCTTATCTCATTCATGTCTCAGTTCAAACGTCACTTTCCTGACCTGTCTTGGATGACAAGGGATTTCAAAGGACAGCCACAGTGTGTAATGTCAACCTGGAGGAAAGGCAGGCACAAATGGTGACTTCCTGATGTGCAACCAGAGCGCACGACTATACTGGAACTTAGCCAAAGGTGGTGGAGGTATGAAGGCGGGGGTAAGAGGACGCATATCACTGGCTTGAGTACTTACTGGTACCCTCCGCAGCGAGAGGGAATGACGCAGAAGAGGGAGAGGCATGGAGGGAGGAAACTGGAGATGCTGAGCTCAGTTTGGGCCACAGTAAATCTAAGATTCCTACGGGACTGGGATTGGAAGGGCTATGCCCAGGAGGCAGTTCTGTTAGCCGAGGGCCACAAGGAGTACACGCCAGGCCGCAGGCGCAGCGCCGGGCTTGTGCTGCTTCTTGAATCCCTGTATCCTCAAGAGGCAGCTATTCCTGGAAATGAACAACTAGATAAAAGCAATACTTCTATATCTCTTTTAAATACACATAATGAAAAGTAAGTAGACACCTGAGTAGTTCATTTGCAACAATAAAAGTTCTTACGTCCAATTTGGCCAAAAAATTTTTATAATTTCCTTCCTGACAAAAATGATTGACTTTCTATATTCAGGCATATAAGCTACTGATTAAGCACCTTTATGTGCCAGCACAGTGCTGGGTACACATTCATCAATTGTGTAATTATAAACTGTAAGGATTAAGAAATGGTAGCAATTTTTTTTAAAGGTTTTATTTATTTATTTGACAGAGATTACAAGCAGGCAGAGAGGCAGTCAGAGAGAGGAGGAAGCAGGCTCCCAGCTGAGCAGAGAGCCCGATGCGGGGCTCGATCCCAGGACTCTGGGATCATGACCTGAGCTGAAGGCAGAGGCTTTAACCCACTGAGCCACCCAGGCGCCCAAGAAATGGTAGCAATTTAATAAATAGTAAATATCTCCTCCTTTATAAAGACACTAGAAGCCAGAAAATTATTCCCATTTCATGGTAGGGAAACAGGTTCAGAAAGGGAAAGTATTTGCCCAAAGTCCCACAGCCAGAGGCAGAATGGAGAACTTGAGCATGCCATGACCTCAGATATGAATGCGCGAGACCCTTTACTATGACACCTCAGGGCTGCACGACACCCTTTACTACGACAGGTCAGGGCTGCGCGACACCCTTTACTACGACACGTCGGGGCTGCCGCCAAGTCATCAGAATGGAGCCGAAGCCACATGTCTCAATCAAGCCTTGCTTCAAGGAGCACGGTCATTTCTCACCTCATCGGCGCTCCCAGCCATGAGAAGGGAGGGTTGTGTTCGTTTTCCAGAGAGGACAAGCTTGGTGAGGCCCAGCTGGTGAAGTGTTGGAGCTAAAATCGGAGCCAGATGGGACTTGTAACGGACAAGCACCTCCCCTCAGAGCAACAATCTTCCAGAGCCTCCGCAGGCCCAGACTTCAGCAAAAGGTGGTTAATGAAAGCAGGAATTACAGCTTGCCAATTGGATAAATTAGGAAATTTATTTATATTTCACCATTTAAAAGCCAGAACATTAACAAATTTCACTTTCTGGAAAGTCATCTTATTAGAAATACATGAAGTGCACTTAATACAAGGAAATCAGTTTCTTGGTACCACCAGTGAAATGGACACACTCTCATCCATTCCCTCAAATGACAGCTTGGTCAAATTTCCCTCCAAACTTAGACCTCTCACTTCAGGGAGGTCAGAGTGAACTTTTTCCAGAAATGACAGTGAAGACACGACCTTAACATTTGAGCCCTCCCAAACAATATCACTTTAGAAAACATTACTTTGCCCCCAAAGGGCCCTGTCTTTGCTGGGAACAAGGCATTTGCAGCCCCTACTGGCAGAGGGAGAGGCCCACCATAGCAGTACACACAGGCCCAAAGCACGCGGTCACTTGCAACCTCAGCTACTGACCAGAATAACTTTCCGTGCTCAGCGTAAAGAGGTCTGACACAAAAAAGTGAACCTAAAGCCACAGGCCTTTTGGTCAATCAAAGGTTCTGGTCCTACAGATTAAACCGACAGCTCGTAGCCCTGTATTTATTAATATTCGTGAAACATGGTGAACTTCACGTTTCTTGAGCTATTAACAAAGCAAGCTTCCAGAAGACAGTTGCCATCAACAAGTGCTCAGAGGAGACGTGTTTCGCTTCTGAACAGTGTGTCTTGTCAAAAAGAGACAGCAGGCTGGGATACTAGATTTCCTATAACCTCTGCTTTAGAAGGCAGGTTTTCACACACTGATTTACACGCAGAAACCAGTTTCATAAGGAAACCATTTGTGATAGAAAAGCAATACTCAGTTTAATCTAAGTTACCAAATAAAAGATAAAATAACTATAGTATCCACTGGAGCCCCTAAACATCTTCCTTCTTATTCATCTGAGGACTCCTTCTCGTGCTTCGAGGACAGAAACGTAAGCAGGCTCCCAAAGAGAGAGGTAAACATGACTCAGTCATTTAAAAACACAGCATTAGGCTGAAAATCAGAACCAAAAAGCTACGGCCCTCTTAGCTGACCCTCCTCCCCGCTTATGGATAATTGGAGTTTAACTTTCCTAACCTAGAAACACTTATTCTCACTAAAAATGGATGGTTACACCTTATCCTAAAAAGGCACCATGCAGGCATTTAAGACTGAACCAGTTAATTCTAAGGGTGTGCAGGAGTGGTGGGAAAATATCACTAATCAAAACTTCCAGCATCAGCTCATGCTAAACCCAGAACATTCACCCTAACAGGCCTTCTGAAACGCTTCCCAAGAGGTAAAACTCCAGCTTTTGGCAACGAACAAGAATTCCCAGAGGACAAAAGGAGCTCTGTTGGCGATGACACACACACACCTCGGGAACAAGGAGAGGAAATGCTGGTCTCATTTGTGCTATTCATGACCCAGGAAAGGTCCTGGCTGGCTCAGAGGACCTGGGAGATGAACACTAGATGGGAGGAACATGTGTGAAACAAGGACAGGTGGAGAAGCTGGATTCTCCTCCGGAAGAGGAAGCAGAAGCTCTAAGAAGGAGCTGAGGAGCTGAGGAGCAGAGACCGGACACGTGACAGAATGAACAGGAGGGAAGATCCCAAAGGAAAGGACGGCTCTGACCTGGAGACCTCTTTTCCTGTCAGAAGGGACCCTATGCTAACACCACAGCTCACTTCCAGGTCCGTTGTACATTTAAGGTGTATGAGTCACATGTTCCACGCCTCACACACAATGGAAGCTCTGGAACAGGAGACGGACAGCAGAACTGCTCACTGATCGATGATGGAACGCTGCAACACCTGATTCATCATGTCCTCTTCGTCGACATCGTAATCCTGTGGGCAAAACACAGACACGCGGCTTCAGCACTGGTTACAGCTGCAGACTCACGTTCAGTAGGAGAAGCGGTGTAGCCCGGGGACGTTGGGCTCTAGAGGTGACCGACCCAGGGCCGATCCCGGCTCCAGGGTGCAATGCTGGCCATAGAACTGGGGGCAAACTGCTCACTTGATCTCTCTGTGCCTCTGCTGCCCCAGCCTGACGATGAAAATCCTGATGGCTCCCTCAGACAGGGACTATGAGGACCAGAGGGCACGTGCATGAAGAAGGTCACAGGCCAAGTACTCAAAGGGGAGTACACTGGAGTCAAATTTGCCTTTTTGATTCAATGAGGCCTAATTATCTACTTGGGTAGAACTTGGGAACCTTATTCCTCTTCACAGCACTCACAAAAAGGCCAATTATTTTGAAGTCTAAACCTCAGACCCTCTCTTAGACTGAGAATAAATATTTTGTGACAACTTAGGAAAGAGTCACGCTTTCATTCTCAGGTCCTGAAATATAGCCGTTAAGACTGAATGCTACTCTAAGACCCTCACGACATGTATCTGTAAACCGGCCATTTACTTTGAAAAACAGGTGGCCAAATTCACCCATTACTATTATGCCAAGACAACAGTGGGTCCCTTCAAAACCGCTTAGCTCTTGGGAAAGGATACAAGCTGGATGAACACCTCTGGCGAGTGGATGTGTTTCGTTTGACCTCAAGTCTTTTAAAAAAATATGTGATACTTCTTACGACATTCTGCCTTCCCAGCTTGCTGGGGCAGGTGGAGGAGACAGGCAGTACTATCCCTCTACCTCCACACGCTAACGATCAGCTGGACCGGACGGGCTGGATACCCGACAGCTTGCGAATGCTCACGAGGACCACTGCCGTTACAAGTCTGGTCCGCATGAGCATCTGACCTTTGGGGTCCTAAGCCAGGTTACATAACAGGTAAAAAACTACACATACCAAAAGGAAGTAGGAAACATTTTTGGGAAAAAACCCAGGGAGCAAGCTTTCACTATGTGTCACCGCAGATGACTGGCCAGTCCACCTTCTTAAATACGACACAACAAAGGCTCTGGCCACTCACCAGGTTTGCGAGTACGGACCACACAGCTGCTGTTCCAGGGAGCCCAATCACACCAGTGACAAAACTCAACAACGGGACACACAGTTCTCCAGGTAAGAGAAGGGAGATCCTTGCGCTGGTCTCCCAAGGGAAGGATCAGGGCCCGGGCTCCAGACTCACCACAAAAGTGTCGTAAGAAAACTGGTGCCGGCGCTGGATGTGCTCTATGAAGTTGGCGCTGCGGTAGTTGGGGTCCCCCCAGGGCATTGAGGCACATATCGGGCAAACCTTTCAACAAAGAAGCACAGTCTTAGGCAACTGACATCTGAGCTGACCTTAGCCCTCTGTGGCCTGTATCTGGCCTCCTTTCCTCCAGGACAGCTTTCCTGACAGGTGGGGTTAGGGCCTGGCCACTCCTTCCTATGCATGTTTGTATCCCAGAGAACAGTCAGCCTCCTCCTCTGGTCAAATGACAGCTGAGACTGCATAAAGGCTTTAAGCATGACACCACCCTTTTCTGACCCCCTACTGTGACCAGGCCATGTGTTAGCCCAGTCGTGGCCTAAACTCTGGCCATCTGACCCAGCAGACAAAATGATCCAAAAGGACAAAGAAAACCCAGGAAATGACAGACAAACCATATCTTGAGGAAGTAAAACACAGCCTTCTGTGCTGTTTTTACACAGTCAAAGCTTAGAAGAGAGGGTTGAGGCTGAAAAGCCCTCATGTAAGAAGTCAATTTGGGCTTTGAAAACAGGGAGGGATCTGGAAGGACAAAGAGAACATGAAAGGGTGCTCTGGCAGACAGGCAGCGTCACAGAGGAGAGGCCAGGAGGCAGCAGGATAGGCCAACAGCCAGGTGATCAGTCTGCTTAGAACACAAAATCCAGATACGGACAGAGAGGAGCGGGGCCGGGAGGAGCAGCAGGCCTAAGTGGTCGGCTTGGAAATGGAACCCCACTGCTTACAAGGAAGATGGGGTGACGAAAGGGGGTGGCAAGAGATCGGTCTGAAACGGTGGAAGACTCCTTTGTGGAAGGAGCTGGGCTGGAAGCCGCAGCTATGGGGCTGGAAGGTGGGTCAGGTCCAGAGACTAAACAGGAGATGGCTTCCAATGGGAAGGGCTGAAACATTAACAGGTAAGGAGTCTGTAGATGGAAAGGAGACAGAACAGAGGGCCAACAGCTGGTGGAAGAGAGGCTTCAACAGAGACAAAAGAACCAGAAGGATTTCAGAAAGCCAAAAGAGGGGGAAAAAGAGAAAAGTAGGTTGCAGTACCAGAAACCACAGAGTACTCTAGCACTATCAAATTTATGAATGCCCTTAACCTTTAACCAAATTAACCCAGATCTAAGACAATATTTTATAAACACAGGCAAAGATGTGTTAAAAATTTATGTCTGGGGACACCTGGGTGGCTCAGTGGGTTAAGCCTTTGCCTTTGGCTCAGGTCATGATCCCAGGGTCCTGGGATCGAGTCCGCATCAGGCTCTCTGCTCAGCGGGGAGCCTGCTTCCTCCTCTCTCTCTGCCTGCCTCTCTGCCCACCTGTGATCTATGCCACTCAAATAAATAAAATCTTTAAAAAAAAAAAAAAGTATGTCTGCACTGTAAAACTTAGCGTGCAACAGAATGGAACTTCCAACCTACGGAAAAGTGGGTAATACTTTGATGACCCGTCCCTTATCCCCAACACCTAGATTTTAGTTTGGCACACTTATTTTGGCAAAAAATGAGGTATGTGAAAGACAGACGCGCTATCTCACCCGGGTTCCAGTACTGGCTCTGCAGCTAACCAGCTCGGCAACACAGTCAAGCCACTTGGCTTGGACGGCACACAAACTTCTTCGTTTATTCCCTTCTAAAAACTACGGGGCAGGATGGCGGTAGGAAATGAATTCCAGTCTCTGCACTTTACTTCACATCCGTTATCATTCTTATAATCATCAAAACAGTTAAGCTTGTCTGGCAAACTTTAACAGAAAATATGCAGTGGGGGCAGGTGGGTAGTGTGTCTCTTCACACTTGCTTTTGAGTGGTCGGTCGTTAAGAATCACAACTAAAGGGGCGCCTGGGTGGCTCAGTGGGTTAAAGCCTCTGCCTTCGGCTCAGGTCACGATCTCAGGGTCCTGGGATTGAGCCCCGCATCCGGCTCTCTGCTCAGTGGGGACCCTGCTTCCTCCTCTCTCTGCCTGCCTCTGCCTACTTGTGATCTCTGTCAAATAAATAAAATCTTTAAAAAAAAAAAAAAAGAATCACAACTAAAACATCTTGAAGGAAGAGCTGAAACCCTGGCTTCAGGTATTTTTCACAGAACATAACTCTTATCTTGCCCACTGTCGGCAAAGAAAGCGCACTGCGAAGCTACTCTGGCATCACAGAGAAATAGCAGGTTCAACGCCCATTTCAGGTTGGCATCTGCCTACAGAAATTTCCAAAGTCATCTATGTAATAAAGATATAAATGTTAGAAAGACAAATATTAGCATCAAGTGGTGAGGCTGTTTATTTTTGAGAACAATCAATTCTCTGTGATCTCTCATGAGAGGCTGGCAGGTCACCATAGTGTGGAGTTTTAGTTTTATATCAGGCTGACCTCTATTAAATAAAAATGGCAAATGGCAACATAATGCATTTACCATATCCAAACAGAATAAAATGCAAGAATGTAAAGAAATACTGGGAACTAATGATATCGAAGGGAGCCGCGAAACTAGGGGGAAGGGGCCAGAGAGACACTTTTTACCATAAATGGACTACACACAAAGAAAACATTTTAAAAATTGCAAAGATGGGGTGGGGGTGCCTGGGTGGCTCAGTCAGTCAAGTGTCTGTCTGCCTTTGGCTCAGGTCATGATCCCAGGGTCCTGGGATCAAGCCCTCTCCCTCTCCCTCTGCAGCTCCCCTTGCTTGTGCATCCACTTTCTATGTCAAATAAATAAATAAAATCTTAAGAAGAAAAAAAAAAAAATGCAAAGAGGTGACAGCAAGGACTCAATAAGTCAGCTGGGACCACAGAGAACATGACTCAGCAGGGGTGGAGGCTGAATCTGGAGGGGAGACAAAAATGGGTTCAAAGAGCAGCAGCTGGAAAACAACAAGCTTGAGGGAAAAGATCAACTGAACATTATCTAGGGAGAGAACAGATCGAGTATTCCTCTCACCACGGAGCCAAGGAAGATGGGCATGTCTGCAGGAAAACAAGTCAGGCGTGGGTAAATAGTGAAGCTGAGGTAAGACAAGACAGTGGGCAGGGTAAGCTGCAGGAACAGGGGTAACTCTTACTTTGGGCTGGGCCCTCTGCTCAGTCCTCTGTGAGCCTGAGGATCCCGGCAGAGCCAGACTTGGAAAGGAGCCTCTTCCTCAACACAAAAAGGAATGTTAAGGACAAGGAATAAGGGTTGCCAATTCAAGTGCTCACAGGGACCAGATTAGTAAGGCCCATGAGCAAAGGAGGACAGATGTAAGCCCATCCCATTTAGAGGGGCAGCAACTACTCTAGGCCAGTTGGCTCTTGCCAGAACTTCCAGTTTCTCAAATGCAGAGTATCAAGACAGAGAATCTTCTGGTTTTTAAAGGTTAAAAGGGAAGGTAAAACGTGTATAGTCTAGACATATCCCATAGACTGCCAGTCTGTGACCTCAGGGGTAGATCAGAGAGCTCCTGAGACAGAAGGAGGAAGAAAGAAGAAAGGAATTCACACCTGATACTCTGAACTCAGTTAAAAGCAGGATTCAGTGTTGCCTGGAAAAGATGAGGACGGCTCATGCCAGGAACTTAATGCGAACAGAGTCCCCAGAACAGTTACCAGACAGCATGTGTGCCTAGCAGCAACAGGGCCTGGCTGAAAATGACTTACAGTGAACCCAGCTTGCCAGGTTCCCTAGTGAGGAGTGTTGGGAAAAGCAGACAAGAGGGAATTTATCTGTCAAATCTGTCATAGCACAACAGTAAAGAACTCAGGGAGCCCCATGTAAAACGTGGCTGTACTAACTGGAATGTGACCTGGTAAGACTAGAGAAGACCTAATGTATTCTCAAAAAGGTCAGGTGTATCTTAAAATTTGCAAAAAACACCCAAAAACAAACAAACAAAAAGAATGCCACCAGGCCTAATCCTATTCACAAAAGCTCATGCACATTCTAAAGTCCATGTATCACCTTTTAAGGCAAGGGAGCTGAAATGTGACCAAAGAACTAAGTATACAGTTCAGGAGAACAGTCTGAGATAAATGGAAAACTGAAAAAAACTATGGAGGAGGCTGTATCAAGACCTAGCCTGTCGGGGCACCTCGGTGGCTCAGTGGGTTGAGCCTCTACCTTCAGCTCAGGTCATGATCTCAGGGTCCTGGGATCGAACCCCACCTGGGGCTCTCTGCTCAGCAGGGAGCCTGCTTTCCCCACCCTTGCCCACCTCTCTGCCTGTGATTTCTCTGTCAAATAAATAAATAAAATCTAAAAAAAAAAAAAAAAAAAAAAAAAAGACCTAGTCTGTCAATGACATTTAGAGGCAAGGGGGCACCTGGCTGGCTCAGTCAGTGGAGTGCATGACTCTTAATCTCGGATTGTGAGTTCAAGCTCCACGTTGGGCACAGAGCTTACTTGGGGGGAAAAAAGAGGAAGGGGTAATCCTGCTGACATGGACCACATCCAAACATTAAAACAAAACAGAACTACAGGCCAGTCTGCGATCAGTCACAAGACTGATAAGCACTTTCCTAATAATTTCATACACATTCTGTTTCTCCACAACTACAAACTACTTTCAAACAGAAAATGGTAGCTTCACAGAGGACAAACCTCACAGACACCAAGGGATCCAAGGTAACATTACCAACCACAGGGCCAACAGACACCACGTGACCCTGGATGTAGCACCCAGAGGACACATGGCTTATGGAATGATGAGAAATCAAACACAAATTGAAGGACATTTTACAAAACAACTGGCTTGTTCTCTTTAAAAATGTCAAGGTAATGCAAGGCGAAGCAAAGCCGAGCACCAGAGACATGACAGCTACATGAAGCACAAAGATCCAGCATTTGGGGGCAGAATAATACTGCTATGAAGGATATTACAATTATTAAAATTTCAGGGTATTCCACTTTTTATTTTTTTAAAGTAATCTCTATGGCCAACATGGGGCTTGAACTCACAACCCTGAGAACAGGGGTCACATGCTCTACCGAGACTGAGCCAGCCAGGCGCCTCTACAACTGTTAAAATTTAAACATGAATTCGGATTAAATTGTGTCAATGTTACATTTGCTGGGTGTGACAAACACAAAAATGTGATTTTGTAAGAAAATGTTATTGTTCTTAGGAGATAACACGCTGAAGTGAGTAGGACCAAAAAGTCATGATATCTTTAACTTAATACTGAATGGTTAGCAAAAAATAAGTACGTATAGAGTATCATTAAGCAAACAGGGTAAAATGTTATTAATCTGTGAATCCAGGTGAAGGGCACACAGGCGTTCACTGTACTAATCCTGTTCATTTTTCTGTAAGTTTGACTTTTTTTCATAAAAAGGAAAACAACAAAACCTAGTTCCTCTTACCACAGATTTGGTATCCGTGCTATGGGATAACTTGCAGTGTTCCACTAGTCCTTCTTGATCAAAGTTCTTCTCGGGACAGTAAGGGCAAGGAAATGTGTAACGGTTTGGGACATTCCTGGAAGATGAAAGGCGGGAGAAAAAACTTCTCTGAGTACTTTTCCACACTTTATCCACTGTACCCTCCAAAAAAGGAGCAACATTCAGTGTGTTATGATAGGGATTCTGACAATTACTTCAGAATCAGGTCAAGTGTTGAAAGTAACAGCGGAGCTAATAAATGAAGTGAGCATCGGAGCCCTCCACACCCCACCCCCAAAACAAAAACTGATATCAGGTGTAGCCAGGTTAGCAATTATACCTCCACTTGCCCAAACTCCTACAACGAAACCCTTGAACATGCCAAGTGTCCACTGTCCTCATAGCAACAGCCGACCTCTGCCCAAGGGAGTGTTCTGAGTCACTTACCTTGGCTGAAGGGAGGCATCCTTGGTGGTGGCCTTCACACCTTCCATGATGTAATTCTGGTATTTGGAACAGGTAGCCACGTGGGCCCGGATCTTGGATAGTAAAAACTTGGACAGGAAGAATCAGAGCCCATAAGTTAGTCAGGGCCAACAGAGTCCCAAAGCAAGATCAAGATGAAAACCAGACCTGTACCACCTTGGCAAACAATCTCACCAGACTCCTGGCTATGCTGACAGGGGCTGAAAGCACATTTGTTGCAAGGTATTTGTTAATACCAAGGCTGATGTCTGACCTGCCCAATCCAGGACAACTGCTTCCACTCAAAGTAACTCTCCTAGAAGTTTGCTTTTATTCAAGGTATGCTCTCTGCTCACATACTCCAAACCCAGGGAAGATTTCAGTTTTCCACATAGTGTTTAAACTAGTCTCCTCACAGCAAGCCAAGAACCACTTTTGTTATGCGTAGCAGTAAAAAGTAATCATTTAAGTAGAAGAGATAAAGACCAGCAATTTTAGTTAAAGTACAGAATGCCAGATAGTGATAAATGATCTTTAAAAAAAAAAAAAAAAAAAAAAACCCGAAATCTGAGTTTTATTTCTCTTATAAAATCTAGTCTTTGCAAGATGGAAAGAGAAAGAATGCTTCATTGCAGGTGTTCTAAAAGGAAAGAAAAAGCATAAGGAATGAAGAGGAGAGATAAAGGGAAGATAAACATTTCTGGAGGTTTAGGACACTTGGAAATGCAATACAATCACTAATCTTTAAAAATGGAGAAAAATCAAAAGTATACAGAAAAAAAAAAAAAAAACCAAAAAACCCATCATGCATGCATAAAGTAACGGGTAATTTCATTTTAATATCCTGAGTTTCAAAATTAAAGGAAACCACAAGAAAAAAAGAAAGCTTCATTATTTGAGCTCTGGCTTACCGTAATGCTCCTTTCTGTCTTACCTCCAGCTAAAGAACTTGACTTCAGACCACCAACCAAAGAGCTCCCAATTAAAAGGGATGGGAAATAGTCCTATTCAGAATGATAACCACCTTGTACCCCTAGTGTTAAATCACTCGGAAAGGAAGTAAATAAAGAATATCCAGGGACGCCTGGGTGGCTCAGTTGGTTGGATGACTGCCTTCAGCTCAGGTCATGATCCCGGAGTCCCGGGATCGAGTCCCGCATCAGGCTCCCAGCTCCATGGGGAGTCTGCTTCTCCCTCTGACCTTCTCCTCGCTCATGCTCTCTCCCACTGTCTCTCTCTCAAATAAATAAATAAAAATCTTTAAAAAAAAAAAAAAAAAAGAATATCCATTCACAGCCATCCATACTAATGTGGTTAAAGAAATGAAACTGACATGTCTAGCAAGTGAAGTTTCATTAAGTGAAAAAATTTTTTAAAAAGTGAGAAAAAGTTCTAGAATTATATAGTATGCTCCTATTTTGTGAAATTCCTACACAGGTGTTTGTAAAAACCTTACGTGTATTTGTCAAAGCGCAGAAAATGTTTTGCCCTTCTAAATTAAATCACTTTTCAAGAGGTAATCTCTGGAGTAAGGAACACACCTACATTATTTTGTGTTTGTAAAGTCCAAAATAAACAAAATCATGATTTCAAAACCTATAAGGCTGTATCTCTTAGGAAATAAAACAGTAGTATTTCTCCTTTATATAGATGGTGAAATAAATACATTTGATTCTAATACGATTATACAAAAGAGCATGGATGCATTTCAAATGTTAAGTATTGCTCTTACAATCACGTAATTTCATAATGACCTTTATGTCATGATCTCTCCCTATCAAGTACTAAAAAACTTCAAGTATCTTTTATGTCCATGATGATAGAGATTGTAACATCTCCCCTTAAACTCATGACAGCAGGTAGCTTTTCTGAGATGCTGATCTCATTTTATATTTAAAAAAATTAAGAAATAGCATCCTACCATTATACCCATAATGCTTTGGGGAAAGTGGCTCTTTTATAGGGGAAGAAACTGGGATAACTCACTCCTATGGTTTTCAAAGCTACAATATATGAATACACTAAACGAACTCTTAAAAAAAAAAACAAAGTAAAACCAATATGGTCACTAAAATGGAACAGCACAGCCATTGCCACTGATAACTAGCATGCACACGTGCTGTTAGTCACCTAGTCAAGCTCTAACTTCAGAAACAATGTGGCAACAGCTCTGCGTTTTACCCCCTCTCGTCACAAAAAGACACTGACTCTTCCATTTTACTTCCACATACATTTTTACGGCAGCCATGGCAAGAAGTCTCTGTGCTCTCAATCTGCCGCTCGAGCTCCGCAGCTCGGACGCCAGGGGCCAGAGCGCTGCGACACACCCCACAGACAGGCTTCTTCGGCTTCAGACATTCCTGCAGGCATGCAGAGCAAAAGCTAGAACAAGACACACAGAGAACCAGCGTCATGCATTGTGGAGACAAGACAACAAAAATGGATCAACTTTTAAAAAGACATCAATGAATAATGGATTATAAAAACATATTGCTCCCTCTTCCTGATTCAGATACTGAGTCCTCCCAGGCCAGAAAGGGGAGGGGGGAGTGTCCTGCCAGAAACACACAGGTCCACCAACAGAAACAAACACACACTGTCAAGACACACAGTGAAAGGTGTTGTGGCACAGTCTTCACACCTTAGCACTGGCCACTGAGGGATCTTGGTGGGGTTTCCTGAACCTCAGTTTCTCCTCTATGAAATGGGGATGGTGGTAGCCACCTCTGGGATTACTGGGATGGAATACATGCAGCAGAGCCTCAGTCCTGTGTCAAGCACCACAAACAGGAGGCGCTATCCTTAGAGGTGAAGGCAAAGTTCTATGAGAAGACAAAGATAAGACCACCTCGCTGTGACCCAAGGAGGACAGGGCTGGTAAGTCTTCAGAGGCAGCGTTCACGAAAGAGCTTTAAAAAGAGCTCAGCTGGCAGAGGTAAGTAAGAAGATTCCAGGCACTTAGACTTAAAAATTCATGAGGCACCTAATAAAAGTCTAACCCCTTTCCTCACAAACAGTAGGAACCCAGATGTTTAAAGATATCAACAAGGCCAAGTCCGAGTTTTAGAAAAACAGCTGAGGTTATCATGGATGAGAGTTGTTGGTTTTCAATTTTTTTTTTTTTTTTTTTTTTAAGGTGAGAAAAGACAGGAGCCGAAAAGTAGAAACCAAGCAGATGGCTAAGGCAAGGAATTCTAACGGCCTAAGGCAACAGAGAATTAACTCAGGAAATGATTCAGAGTGGAGTCAGTAGGACTTGGGAACTCACTGAATTTGGAGAAGAAAAGTCAAAGAAGGCCAAGTTTCTATGCTGAAAACTATGCAGGGAGTGATGGTGAGCGGTGGTACACAGTGAGAGAGGATAACACTGCACGAAAACAGCCTGGCTACATACCCAACAGGTTTAAGGTAAGATAACAAAACCCACCAGGAAGAACTCAGGAAAGCTAACCTGTGCACTGACAAATTTTTACTGTCTCTAAGGGTTTTCTTCCTTTTTGTCATAAAACTAGATGTTAACACTGCTGCACAAAACAGGCCAGTCTGGCACAGGATGAGTCTAGTGCTTCACCACTGAGAGCACAGTGGAGAAGTAAACAAAATCCGTGTCTTCTTGATGCTTATATTCCAAAGTGGAGAAAGACACAAATGTTAATTCTGACATTTGTGATTACGTACAGGAAGGAAATAAGACGAGCAGAGATCAGCCGAGGTGGAGGATACTGAGCTTCTTTGAGGAGGCGATCTTTGAGCTAAGATATTTGAGCTAAGAGGAGGAGACAGTCACCCAGACGTGGACACAAAGAGCTCCACAAAGAGATTATATATGAAGTACAAAGGGAGTTCTACAAAGCAGAAAGGGAGCCCTCTGGGACCATGATGGGTAGACCACCGGGAGAGGGCAAGTGGTTAGGCTGGAGAGGCAGACAGGGCCTTGCAGGCACCATTTATTGTAACTCTTCTCAAAGGCAGATCACAAGAGGAACCCAAGACAGCAGAGGTCCCAGAGAAACCAAGCCCAGCTGGTAGAAAAAGGCAGCTTCAAGCCTTCAAGCACACACCAGGATACAGCTCGCTGACCAAACGTTCACCAGCCACTCTGTGCCTGAGTCATGCCCACCATGCAAGCCTGCTTTTAAACAGTCCCCGAGTCTTGGGCTTGCTTTTGGTTTCTCTTTCCTTTTTCACAGGTCTTGATCTAGTTCAGCCTTCTCTTGGGCTTCCAGCCACCTGCCCTTCTCCAGCTATATTCCACTTAACTGGAGGGACACAGTCATTCATGGCCTGAAATAAAGTTTTATAAAAACTCAATGCCTCACCCAGCAAAAGCTACAATGATGCTGGTTTCCAAGCAAGAAAGTTAGCAAAAATGTAATACTAACTAGGCTGAGCAAAAAAGCACTTGGCTGGAACTAAGGGGGACTTGTACTGCCCTCACAGAGGTGCATCCATCTGTCTTTAATCAGCACGAACTGATGAACACATGGAACCAGGATGGTGAGTACAGAGAAGAGCCAAGAAACCCAGTACTGCCCCTTGACCTCTGACCTAGGAAAGGTTCACGTGGCTCAAGGAAATCTCAACTTCTGCTGTTCTTCCATCGGTGAACTGTGCTGGGTCAAGCCTCTTTATAAATATTAATTGTGAATGAAATCCAATGAATTAATCCAAAATCAGGCAAAAGTAGTAAAGGCTGATCCAAGGAAAAGATGACTCAATGAGAACACTATCTAGCCTCCACCACCAATCTCTTATGTCATCCATCCATTCATTACCTGATCACTCCCAAACACACCAGTTTGATCCCTATAAGACCCTCCCACTGCATACTGAATTTTCACAATAGTTTTAACACCTGTTAGCCTAATTTATCATCAATTCACTGGATTGTAAACTTTGAAGGCAGAATCACCTTGTTTCTTACCATGCCCCCAAGAACCTGGCACATGGTGGGCATACAGATATTTTAGTGTGTTGAATGTAAAACTGGAAGATGGAAGCTCAGACACTGTGCCAGGCACTGGGGATACAGAAAGGGGCAACACAAATATGGCCACTGCCCTCATGATCCCTAAGTTTGGCTCTCCGCAAGGAAGAAGGGGAGGAAGGAAGGGCCGGGAGTGAAGCAAGGACGTAATTTAAGTAGGAATGATGATAAGGGAAGTTAAACTGGGACTTGAAGTCCGGAAAGGATTTGGGGTAGCTGACAGGGGAAGTGCAGATGGGGCAGGAAGCGTTCCAGGCTAACTGAACCGCAAGTGGGAACAGCCTAAAGCTAGAAAGAACTTAGAATACCTGAAGAAGCAAAAAGCAGTCAGTGTGGCTGGGGAGCCCTTACCAGGTGCCAAATTATTTTCTGGGCTGGCAAGGAAACACCTGCAGTTCATCTGGGAAGAGTTAGACAATGGTGAGTCTGCCCTACGTAAGCCTCAGTCCCCTCACCTGCAAAATGGCTGTCAACCCTCTTCCCCTGCGGTGCTGCTGGAGGAGTAAAAATACCTGTGGCCCAGCAGGAGCCTGTTGCGTCTACTCTCCAACAAAGATGTCCTAAAACCAATGCCAAGGTAATGCCCAAGATAAGCACTGTGGGAGGCCACTGAGGAAAAGCCAACACCCAGCAGCAAGAAGTAGCCACATTTTCTACAGTTCTTTCAGCTTAGGTGTTGGTATGCCTGATGGAGCAAGGCTTAGATTCAAATCCCGCAACGTCAAGGCACGTAGCCCAGCCCAAAGTCTGTACTGGTCACTTTCACACCCCTCTCCCGTAGCGTCACAACCAATGCATCAGCAACATGCAGGCCCTGGAGGCTCAATTTCAAACAAAATGCAGCAAAGCCCGTACACAAGTAGGAATACTAAAAGAGCTTTCTGCAACTCCCAACCCCTTTCACAGTTAATGGCAGACCGGTGAAATCTATTACCAAGACTTCCCTTTTGTTCTTTTAGTCTACTTCAGCGTTTTTCCAACTTCAGTGCACGTTCGAATTACTTGGTAGAGCTGGATACACGACGCCATACGTGTACCATACTTCAGGAGCAATGCACAGATTATTCAAGAGAAACCGTGGCTGTCCAAGGTCCAAAGTCCGACTTTATTTTTTTAAGTAAACTCTACGCCCAACGTGGGGCTCGAACTGACGACCCCAAGATCACAAGTCACACGCTCTACCGAATGAGTCGGACAGGAGCCCCACCAAAGGCCCACCTCAGACCCTACCTAATCCCCAGCAGGGTGCGACTCCACTATCGCGGGTGAGGAGCCTGACAGGCCGCCTGGAACACAGCAGGCGCTCAAAAAACCGCGGAATACTTGGAAGCGACAAGAGCGCCCCGCCGACTTCCACCGACCTTCAGGTGCCCGGAGGGCCCGGGGAAAAGAACCCTCTAGCCCGGTCCTAGCGCTTCCGCCCCAGACACTCCCCGCCGCACCCCTCCTAATCAGGTTGCCCGGCGACCGGACCCCGGCTCGCCCCTTACACGTGACCGCAGGGCACTTGCACCGGCTTCTCGTACACCTCTAAACACACGGGACACGTAAAGCGGCCCAGCGGGTCGGCCTCCGCTGCGGGCCCAGCCAGCTGCGCACCACCCTCACGGTCCTGCTGTTGCGCCGCCATCTTCCTGCCGCGCAGAGCGGCGCAACGGCGGCCGAGAAGGAGGAGCCCGGGGGGGGCGGGGCGAAGTACCGGGCTAGCGCGCGCGCTTGGGGCGGGGCTTGCGGCCAGCCGGGGCGGGGCAAAGGCGGGACCCTGGGCGGTGAGGGGCGCTCGGGGCGTGGCTTGTGGAAAGGGCGCGTGGATGGGATGGGACTTGTGAGTGGGCCACGCCTCCTGTCCCCATCTCCTCTCCTCCTCCCTCGCCTGCCCCGACTGACGGGAGGAGGGCGAAGCCGAGGGAAATGTGGAAAATACGGCAGTCAGATCCAGACACCTGCAGAACTGGAGCAGGTTCTGTGTTTCAGCCACTGTTTCCTCAATTTAAATCATTACAATTACTTAATATTTCACCCCAAATCGAATTGCCTTTGGTTTAAACTTAGGCAAACACATTTCGTTAAAAAAATTGGGTTTTTTTAGGCAAACAAATGTTAAAGGGAGATCTATCACTCCCTGAGCTACGAATAGAAAATAATCATTTATTTCTAAGAGCAATGTAAAAATACAGTGGAAACAAGACAGCATTATTAATTCATGCCGGTTACTCTTGACACTGAAAAGGGAGATCAGCCGTTAAGAGAGGTATTGAAGACAGGCTATGGGCACAAACCAGCAGTGAACCAGTAGGGAAAGAAGTGGGAGTCACCATGCTTTACTGCTGTGTTCACTCGCCTCCTGGCCATGGGACCCAACAACAGCTCTGTAGAGACTGGGAAGCTGATAGTCCAAACTTCAATCTCACAAGAAGGACCCCAGCCTGGAGCCCAGATGTTTTGAACGCCAGCTGTCTCCACTTGGTACTGCACCAACTAGGCTCTTGTGGACAGCCCATTTAAGGAAAGATACATCTTGTTCAAAGGCAGGCTCTGCTAACAACTCTAACCAGGTTTTCCTGACCAGGAAAATCAATGATCAAATAAGCTTCCATCCTGAAAGGCCCCAGAGGCCTCACAATATGGAGTCTACACAGGACAAATAAATCCTGTTTGTTAACCAGGTTAATTGAATGCAGGAGGATTGTATTTAGCTATCCACGGGGGCATCTTTTCACCAGTAAATAACTTGGCATGCATATGCAGCAGCCCAAGGGGTTTACATTCTACTGTTTCTTTTTCCCATCCCTGTGGCAGGCACTCATGCGTCTGATCTCTTCCCAACCAATATGCCCGATCTCCCCTCCGAGGATGAGGTTTCTCTGGCAGGGGCAGAGGTGTGCCATATGTATTCATAAGACTTTGTGTTAGCCTTGTAGCTGCTGCCAGACTCTGGGGTAGGGGCAGGGGAGTCCCAGACCCAGGCTTCAGATGGATTGCCCCCAGTTTGGTCTCTTGAAATGAACTTACCACGACCTTATACACTTAGTTACAGAGTCAAAAGGATAGGATTGAAATATTAAGTGAACTTTTTTATGCTTATTGGTCTAAGCATTTTACATAAATAAATCCTCATTGCAACCTATGACTTTGGCTCTATTATCCCCATTTTACAGCTATGCACATTGAAGCACAAAAAGATTAAATTACCTTTTGATGGTAATGGAAAATGATAGGATTTGGACACATGCAGTCTGGCTTTGGCACATTTGCACTTAAGAGTACCTGTGTCTCAGTCACCTAAACCCATTGTGGGAGCCAACCCCCAAGGTTCTGATGCAACAGGTCAGTGGGGGTAGAGGGTAGGGCCAAGGATTTGCATTTCTAACAGTTTGTGTGTTGTTTGTTTTTTTTTAAAGATTTTATTTATTTATTTGACAGAGATCACAAGTAGGCAGAGAGGCAGGCAGAGAGAGAGAGAGGGAACAGGGTCCCCACCGAGCAGAGAGCCCGACTCAGGGCTTGATTCCAGGACTCTGAGATCACGACCCGAGCCGAAGGCAGAGGCTTCAACCTACTGAGCCGTCCAGGTGCCCCTCTAACAGTATTCTAGGTGAGGCTGATGCTGCTGCACCAGGAGCCATACTTTGAGAACCACTAGCCTTCTCTACCCTCCATCCCCTCACACCCCCACCCCCATCAGTGCCCTACCAGCCTGAATGTACTCCACCCTTTCCTGTTTTTTCTAGGCATTCCCAATGAGAATGTCCCCATGATCCCTTCTCAGCTTGCAAATACACTGCCAGTCCTCATCACCACACCCAATACTCAGCCGCAATCAACCTCATAATGTGTGTTAAATGAATGAAACTTTCCCTTCTCAATGTTCTTAAGGAAACTATTTCCCACAACAGTCTCTCCCTGTCCTTTAGCTTTGGTCAGCCTCTCTCGGACTGCCCACATCATCTAAGATCTGTTGTGAGCCTGGAGTGGGGAATCGGTCAGGCTCAACGTTTTTGCAGACTTGATTTTTCTGCCAATGTAGACTCATACATCCAGGCAACAAAGAGTCCCTGAGGGCTTCCTGTGTGCCAGGTCCTCGGCAAGGTTCAGAGGAGAAATACGGGATCTCAAATAGGCAGTGACAGATGGTTTAAAATGTTACTCAACGGGGGCGCCTGGGTGGCTCAGTTGTTAAGCATCTGCCTTTGGCTCAGGGTCATGATCCCAGGATCCCGGATCAGCCCCCGAATCAGGTTCCATGCTCAGCGGGAAGCCTGCTTCTCCCTCTTCCTGCTTGTGTTTCCCCGTCCCGCTGTGTCTCTTTCTGTCAAATAAATAAAATCTTAGGGGCGCCTGGGTGGCTCAGTGGTTAAGCCTCTGCCTTCAGCTCAGGTCATAATCTCAGGGTCCTGGGATCGAGCCCCACATCGGGCTCCCTGCTCAGCGGGGAGCCTGCCTCCCCTTCTCTCTCTCTGCCTACTTGTGATCTCTCTCTGTGTCAAATAAATAAATAAAATCCTTAAATAAATAAATAAATAAAGTCTTTAAAAAAAGGATCCTAAGGACAATTGCAGAGAGATCTCCCTGCCCTTGTGTGAGATGACCCAGTCACACTGTGCCCACACTCCTCACCTACAGAAACTGAGATAACCCACATGTGTTGTTTAGGCCACTAAATTTGTGGCCATTTATTCCGCAGCAACAGACAATACAATCTCCTGAGTGGGCAATTTGCCTATAATTGTCTACATTACAAGAGCATATACTCTAATTTTTTTGTTTTCAGAACTTTATCCCTAGGGCCTGCGCCATCCAATATTGTGGCTATTTAAATGTAAATACATTTAAAGACAAAACTAGAGAGTCAGTTCCTCTGTCTCACTAGCCGTATTTCCAGAGCTCAAGAGCCACACGCGGCTAGCAGATACGTATGCACTGGACATAGCAGACACAGAACATCTCCACCACCACAGAAAGTTCTGCTGCTACAGACCTGCTCACAGGTGTGGCACACAAGCAATTTTGAGCTTTAAATAACTTAAAAGCTGGGGTGCCTGGGTGGCTCATTTGGGTAAGTGGCCAGCTCTTGGTTTCATCTCAGGTCATGATCTCAGGGTCCTGAGATCAAGCCCCATGTCTGACTCCACGCTCAGCAGGGAGCCTGCTCTAGCATTCTCTCTCTCCTTCTGCCCCTCTCCCCACTCTATCTTTCTGAAATAATTAAATCTTTTAAAAATACATACACATAGGGGGTCACCTGGGTGGCTCAGTGGGTTAAGCCTCTGCCTTCAGCTCAGGTCATGATCTCAGGGTCCTGGGATCGAGCCCCACATTGGGCTCTCAAGCAGGCTCAGCAGGGAGCCTGCTTCCTGCCTGCCTCACTGCCTACTTGTGATCTCTCTCTGTGTCAAATAAATAAATAAATAAATAAAAATATATTAAAAAATGAATTAAAAAATAAAAATCACCTTTAAAAAATACATACATACATACATACATACTTAAAAGCTATTTCAGGCCTACCTCTTAGAACTGTACCAAATTTTTGGACACCTTGTAAATTCCACATACAAATCCTTTATCAGATCTATTACTGCAAATATTTCTTCCCAGTCTATGGCTTGCCTATTCATTTTCTTAGCTGTGTCTTTCTTTTTCTTAATGCCACATCACAAAACTTATTATGGAAGATTTTAAACACATATGAAAGTAAAGCGAATAGAATGATGTATTTATATATACCTGTTGCCCAGCTTTGTTAGTTACAAATCATGATGAGTTTTATGTGTTCTATACCCTCATCAAATCCTCCCTTCACCCACCACCTGCCTTATTTTGAAGCAAACTTTATCATCTTTTGATGAGCAGAAAATTCTCATTCCTATAAAGTCTAACCTATCTTTCCCCCCCCCTCTTTTATTGTTAGGGCTTTATACGCTAAAAAAATCTTTATCTACCCGAGGTTGCAAAGATATTCTCCAACATGTTCATTTAAGAAGTTTTGTAGTATTAGATTTTATGTTTAAAGCTACGATCTGTCTTGAATTAATTTTTGTGTGTAGTGTGAGGAGTGGATCCAATATTAGCTTTTTCTGATGGCTATCCTGTTGTTCCAACACCGTTCATTGAAAAGTCCACTCTGTGACCCCAAATTTCACTAAAGAAAAAATTTAGGTAAAATTCACAAATTTTACCCAAAAGATATGTAAACACATGTCCATAAAGAGATTTGTATAAGAATGTTCACTGTACCTTGTACAAGAATGTTCAAATAGACTTAACCTGGAAACACTGCAAAGTAAATCAACATGTGAATGGGTAAATTGTGGTATCTTCATATGAAAGAATACTACTCAGCAATAAAAGGGAACAAACTATTAATACATTAATACATTATACTTATAATATGGATGAATCCCAAAAACAATATGCTGAATGAAAGTATTTACACATGATCATACTTACATGAAGTTCCAGACAAAACTAATCGTGGTGAAAGAAAGAACAGTGATTGTCTCTGGTTGTGGACTTAAATGGAAAGGACATTGAGGGAACCTTCTGGGGCTTTGGAAATATTCTATATTTTATTTTATTTATTTATTTATTTATTTATTTATTTATTTATTTAGTAAGGTCCATGTCCAGCGTGGATCCCAATGCAGGGCTTGAACTCATGACTCTGA